TGGGCGCTGTCCCTCAGCTCTTCAGCTCAAGGCTAGCACTCTACCACTTGAGCCACAGTGCCACTTCCAGCTTTTTTCTTTTTGCTTACGTGGTGCTGAGGAATCGAACCCAGGGCCTCATGCATGCAAGGCAAGCGCCTTTTTTTTTAAAGACAGGTGCTCTATCACTTGAGCCACAATTCTACTTCCAGCTGTTTTTGCTGGATAATTGGTAATAAGAGTCTTATTGACTTGACTGCTTGGGCTGGCTTTGATCTCAGCCTTCTGAGTAGCTAGGGTTATAGGCTTCATGTCTTAATGATAATTAGAAATGAGGATTCTCCAAGCCAGCGTAGATCAGATTCTATCCATCTGATACCAAAATCTGGTCAGATGACCTTAGGGATGCATGCTATCCTAGGCACAAAACTGCAAATTAGAATTTAGCGCTACAGATCATGGGACTCAGCTGTGTGTGGCTACGTCAGTTTCTCTCTTTGGTTGGAGGATCTTAGAAGGTTGCAGATTTCCCAGGTGAATGAAGAGCTTCCAAAAATGTTCATCGACCATCAGGCTGAGTCCTGTCTGCTGTTGATCGTGTGTGTGTGTGTGTATGCACGTGCATGTGCATGCACAAGCGTTCTAGTCCTGAAGTTGGAACCTCAGAGCCTGGGCTCCGTTCCTGAGCTTCTTTTTTTTTTTAATTTAATTTTATTTTATTTGTGAACATACTGTACAGAGGGGTTACGATTACATGGGTCCTGAGCTTCTTTAGCTTAAGGCTAGCGCTCTACCACTTGAACCACAGCTCCATCTCCAGCATTTTTTTGTTGTTGGTGTTGTTCGTGCTGGTTCATTGGAGATGAGAGTCTCTGGGATTCAGATCCCCCTAGCCCAGCTTCCCCCTTGAATAACTAGGACTAGAGGCGTCCCTGTCTTGTCTTTTGTAGCAAAACTCAATTCTGGACCTCTTGTTCTTGATCCATAGGAAAAGCCAGGATGGAGATGACAATGACAACAATGGAGACGATGACCACAACGATGGAGAAGACCACGATCACCACGGAGTATGAGACAACCACGGAATTCGACTACTCAGACACTACTCCCTGTCTGAAGGTAGCCGTGAGAGACTTTGGGGCCCAGCTGCTCCCTCCTTTGTATTCCCTGGTGTTTATCGTCGGCTTGGTGGGCAATGTTCTGGTCGTCTTGGTTCTGATGCAGTACAGAAGGCTCCGGAGCATGACGAGCATCTACCTCCTCAACCTGGCCATCTCAGACCTGCTCTTCCTCTTCACGCTGCCCTTCTGGATCCATTACAAGCGGAAGGACGATTGGGTCTTTGGGGATGCCATGTGCAAACTCCTCTCCATGCTCTATTACATGGGCCTGTACAGCGAGATCTTCTTTATCATCCTGCTCACCATCGACAGATACCTGGCCATCGTCCACGCCGTGTTTGCCTTACGGGCCCGGACTGTCACTTTCGGCCTCATCACCAGCATGCTCACGTGGGTCGTGGCCTTCCTGGCCTCCATCCCCGGCTTGTATTTCTCCAGGACCCAACTAGAATTCACGCATCGCACCTGCAGCCTTCACTTCCCAGCCGAGAGCCTGAGGCATTGGCGGCGATTCCAGGCTCTGAAGATGAACCTGTTCGGCCTTCTTTTGCCCCTCGTGGTGATGATCGTGTGTTACTCGGGCATCATCAGTATCCTCCTGAGGAGACCCAATGAAAGGAAAGCCAAAGCCGTGCGGCTGATCTTCGCCATCATGATCATCTTCTTCCTCTTCTGGGCCCCTTACAACCTGTGCATGTTCGTCTCGGCGTTTCAGGACTCCCTGTTCACCCAGATGTGCGAGCAGAGTCGGCAGCTGGACGTGGCCATCCAGGTGACCGAAGTGATCGCCTACAGCCACTGCTGCATCAACCCCATCATCTACGTCTTCGTGGGAGAGCGCTTCAGGAAGTACCTCCGCCAGCTGTTCCAGAGGCACGTGGCCGTGCATCTGGTTCGCTGGCTGCCCTTCATCTCCGTGGACCGGCTGGACAGAGCCAGCTCGGTGTCACCGTCCACGGGAGAGCACGAGCTCTCGGCTGGGTTCTGACTCAGAGTGCCAGACGCTAAGCTTTGACCTTGGCAGGTGTCCCCTACTCTCAGGGCAAAAGGAGAATTCTGGGATCTCGAAGACGTGGCTGGAGAGAGAGGCAAGAAATGGTGCCATCTGTCACCTTGTGAGTGTCAGTCTTTTCCAGAAACTTCATCCTAGGTGACTGCAAAGAGACATTTTAGAGACAAAAACCAATCAGGGCCAGGAAAGGCTCTGGACCCCTAATAGGATATTGGAACTGAGCACATTGGTATTGGCAAACAGACACAGGGAACCTACTTCACCCCCCACCCCCGGAGTTTGAACTCAGGGCCAAGGCTCCGTCCCTGAACTTGCTTTTGTTCAAGGCTGGTACTCTACCCCTTGAGCCATACCTCCACTTCGGGCTTAGGGTTTTTGTTGTTGTTTTTTTTGTTTCGGTCAGTCATGGGGCTTGAACTCTGGGCCTGGGCTCTGTCGCTGAGCTCTTTTGCTCAAAGCTAACACTCTAGTGCTTTGAGCCACAGAGTCATTTCTGATTTTCTGGTAGGCTCACGAGAGCTAAGAGTCTTGTGGATTTTCCTGCCAAGGCTGGCTTTGAACTGTGATCCTTGGATCTCAGCTTCCTGCCTGAGTAGTTAGGATGACAGTCAAGACACCGGCATTCAGCTCTATTTCTTTTAAAGTTCTTTTCCTAAGAACAAACATTGTCTCTAATAAAAAGCCTATAGCCACCAAAGAAATAGAAAAATGTTGAAATCATCTATACCCCCTCTACCCAAAGAAAACCACCGTGCTATTTTTCAATGAATTTTCATCTAGTGTCTTCACCCTCCACCCACCCCTGTATTTTTGTTTATAACAGAAAAAAATTTCCAAAGTATTGCTTTGGTATTGAGTATTCTTTTTTTTTTTTTTGGTCTGTCGTG